TCCATCCAGGCAGAGTCTGTGCTCTACCTACTTTTGCATCTCCAGTTTCCAGCCAGGCCCCGACAGGTGGGCGGCTGCCCAGTGTTTGCTGAGCCAACTCCTCCCTTCCGTCCTCTCTCCTTTTCCAGAGCAGGCCTCCCCTCCCCGTGAACAAAGAGGTGGAGATTGGCGGGATGTGACCAAGCCCAGAGAGAACCCGAAACAGTCTGACTGTGGGGCGAGGGACTGGTGGCTCTCCAGTGTCTCCTGCACAGACCGCGCTTGGGGACCTTTCACAGACAGACCCCAGAGTCTGACTTGGTGGGTTGCGGGGAGCCCCGCAGTCTGCATTCTCTTCTTGTTGAGATGAGGTCTCACTCTGTCACCCAGGCTGGAGTGCAGTGGCAGGCCAGGGCTCACCACAGCCTTGACCTCCTAGGCTCAAGCGGGCCCTCTGCCTCAGCCCCCGAAGCAGCCGGGACTACAGGCATGCGCTACGACTGATGGCTAATTTCTCGGATTTTTTTGTAGAGACGGGTCTCATTATGCTGCCCGGGCCGGTCTCAAGCTCCTGAGTTCAAGCGATCCTCCCGTCTCAGCCTCCCAAAAGGCTGGGACTACAGACGTGAGCCACCTCTCACTCGCATCTGCCTTTTGAAGAAGCACCTTCAGGGGTTCTGCTGCAGGTGGCCTCTGAGACCCCCCCTTGGGAAGTTTGCGGAAAGGGCGGTCCTGGCACTCACCTTTCCTTCGCTTCCACCAGAGCAAGGTTGCCAGTCCCAAAACGACAGTTTTGAGCGCCACGCAGGCCGCGGCCACCCCGAGTGCGGTCTCTAGAGTCAGGGGCAGAGACCCTGTGCTGCTTTTGCCCTCTGTGTCCCTGAGGCCAGCTGTGGTGGCTATGTCACGGGGGCTCTGGCTGGTGGTCTCGGTGGCTGGGAGAAACAAGCAAACGGGAAGTGAGCAGACTGCCCTGGAGGCCTGGGTGTATCTGGGGGAGCGTGTGGCGTCTGGTGTTCCAGGCTGGGAGAGTCCCGGGATGGCGGATTGGCTCCTAGGAGCTCACCAACGGGCACAATAACAAGGTGGAAGGCTGAGGGCTGGCGATCCAGTCAACCCAGTTGAAACTGAGGACGCGGTGAACACCAAAAGCCTCCGCGGAGGGTGCGAGGAGGGTGCCGGCGTCTGGACTCACCGTCGGTGATGGTGAGGTTGGTCCCTTCGATGATCTGCCATGTCTGCCTGCCTTCGGTCTTTGTGTTCAGATGGACTCGGCAGAAATACACAGTCTGGTCCTCCCTCCGCAGGTTCCAGATCCTGAGGGAGCCGCTCTCCTGACCCTGTGTCCAGTTCAGACGGAGCCGGTTCTTGAAATCCTTGTGGGTGAAGCGTGGGGTCGTGTTGTAGAAGAACTCCCCGTGGAAGTGCCCCCGTCTCCAGGATATAGCCACTTTGGGATCCTCGGCTAACTCCCAGGGATGATAGAAGGAGAAGGGGATTTCGATGGAGCCACCCACAGGGGCTGAGAGGTGTTTGGGTTGGTTGATCCCGTAGTCTCCAGGAGATACTGCTGAGCCACCTGGAGGAGGGAGGGAGGAGAGGGAACGGAGACTCTGAAGTCACCCGGGGGGACAAGGAGGAGACACACCTGGGCCTCCTGGCCGGCACGTGACAGTTGGTAGGACTGACCCCGTGGCCTGGGCATTGGGAGGCGAGAGGCTGAAGGGATGGGTGAGCCCACCCCTGTGGACCAGCCCCTCGGTGGCTGGGTGGGAGGCCCGGCCGGCTCCTCCAACAGACCCCCCTCCCGATGCCCAGCCATTGCCCCCCTGGCGGCCCCTCCCGCGGTTGGGCAGAGCCCCCACCCGGGCGTCCTGGGCACTCACCCGCCTGCAGCGCCAGGGACGGCAGCAGGGACAGCAGCAGCAGGGGCCAAGCCATGGCCGTGCCGACCTCCAGGGCAGCCAGGGGCAGGCGGAGCTGTCGAGGCAGGAGGGGAGGCCCTGTGGGGGGCGTCTGGGGGTTCACCGGAGTCGGGGAGGCGTCCGGGCGGCAGGGTCAGGCTGCCTCAGAGGCCGGAGGAGCGTGGGAGCCCTCCCCGAACCTCCACGCCTTCAGAGTGACCGGCACTTCCTTTCTCAGACGGGCTTCTTCTTTTCCAGCATTGCAAAAGGCCCTCCCTTGGAGTCAGGGGCAAGTGAGCTCTGCGCACAGGCCCCCGGTTCCGTCTCCCACGGAGAGGCCTGGCCCTGACCTCGGCTGCCGGGCGTCCCCTCTCCCGCCTTGACTCTGCCCTGACAGCTCCCTCAGCATCTCCGGTGGAGTCAGTCTCTGCCTCTTGGTTTCTCTCTCTCTCTCCCCGTGCCCCTGCCCTCTCCCCCCACCTCACTCAGTCTGTTTTTCCTTCCCGCTTACTCTGGTTCTCTGAGCTTCTTCCGGACTCGGCCTCTCTCTCGTCCCGGGAGAAGGCTGCTCAGCACCAGCGAGGCAGTCTCAGCCAGAGGAAAGGTGGGCATGAGTCTGCCGGGCTACGCCCCTAGCTTTGGCTCTTACAGAGAATGAGGAGGCAGAGGGTGGTGGCCACACACCCTCAGCCCCCAGCCCAAGCACCTGAGCCCCCAGTTTGCTCTGTCTCGCTCTGCCAGGCAGAGGCTCCCAGGCAGCCCTCCGGCAGAACCAAGGACTGAGGCACCCTGTCCTCCCTGAAGGTAAGGGGTGCGGGTGGGGGGGCAGTGCCGCCTACCCAGACAGTGGGCCTCCTGGCGGCCACGCCTCCACCCCCAGAAGGTGGCACTGGATCTGCAGGGTCCTCTCCGTCCTCCCCACCCTACAGAGGATGAGACTGAGTCTCAGGATTCTTGCCCCAGGCCAGATGACTCTCCTGTGGCACGTCCCATCTGGAACTGCAGGCTGCTGCGTCCATGGAGCCCCCACCGTAAGTGGAAGCCTGGGCTGACTGCACGGCAATCTGGGCCTCAACCTCTGAGGGCAGAAAGGCAGGGGCAGGGGTGCCCCGGGCGGCCGTTTTCGTCAAGCTCCTGAGGCGAATCCCTCCCCAGACGTGAGAAGCCCTGGCTTATCCAGAACCTTCCTTGGACAGAGGGGAAAGGGAAGGCTCGGAGCGGCGGTGAGGAACCCTCACACAGTCCCCGGGACCGTCTCCAATGGAGGGTACTGCCAGCCTTGCTTGGTGGCGGATGGGTGAGACATCGGGGGCTGGGAGCTTTGGGGACCCCCAGGGCTCATTTTCTAGGGAGCTCTGCCCATCCCCCCACCCCCAGGATGAGGAGGCATTTGCTCTCCGAGTGGACCATGGAGCCAGAAAGGCATGATCCTGCCAGAGCAAGTGGTGTCTGCCTTCTTGAAGCAAAGCAAGCAGAATCCGACTTCCCTTCTGAACTGCTTCTTCCCTAATCCCACCACAATCTCTTCTGCCCTCCCCAGGGCCAGCCAGGCAGCCCCGCTCCCTCTGTGCCAGCTTTTCCTATCCCTCCTCACAGGCCTGAGAAAACTGGTTCCAGATGTTCACGGAACCCCTCTGAGCCAGACCATAAGCACTCGATTCTCAGCTTCACAACGCTCTGTTGCGGACACGTCATCTCTGCTTTACTCACGGGGAAGCTGAGATGGGAGGGTATTGGACGAAGCGGTCCCAGCTGGAAAGGTGGGCCGGAGAGAGGACGGGGACCCGCTGGCCATCTGGCCAGGGCCTGGAGAGTGCGGCCTGCCCTGCCTGAGAACTGAGCCTTGGGTTCCATTCCTGCCTTGCCCCATGAGCTGTGGGACCTGGCTGGAAAGGCACCGGTCGGCAAGGCCCCCCAAGGAACGGGCTGGACTCCAGCAGGGAGCCACAGGCCAGCGGGGAGGCCCACAGCCCTTTTCAAAAGCCAACGCTGGGCAACTTTCACAGAGCGCATGCTGACACGTGTGGTCTGCCTGGATGCAAGGTGCACGGTTATGTCACTTTCAGGACCTGGACCCAGTGATTCCCCTCAGGGGACTCTTGTGGTCTCTGCTCAGGGCGGGCGTGAGGTCTCCTGGGCTTGTTCGTGCTCCCTTCCCTCGACAGCAGTGACAGGCCTGGGAGTCAGCCTGGATCTGTGGCTCATTCACAGAGGGGGCTTCTGGGAGGTTGGACAGCCCGTGGTTTGGATGAGACCCTGCTGAGCTACCTAGAGGCTGGAGGGCGGGGAGGGCATGGGAGTCTGATTCAGGGAAGGGAAGAACCCACACGCAGCTCTTCAGCCCAGTGGGTGGCCACGGGGGAGGGTGGGACCCAGGGTGGGACCCAGGGTGGCCTGGAGCAGGCCAGGTTCGCAGGTCAGGACCCTGCACCACATGTGGAGAACCACCGTCGCAGATGCCCCTGGCTTCCCCAAGCTGCTTGCCTCCCTCGCTGGCCACGTCCCTCCCTGCCCCAGCCCCTCCCCTCCTCGGCTCCCCACCCAGGGCCGGGTTTCTCCCTAAGGTCGGAATGAGGCCGACTTCTAGCGTTTTCCTATATTCCGTATTGGTACGTTAGGTGTCTGTTCATCCCGATTGCATTATCTGTATTTTCTGCATTCTTAATGCTCTGGTACCCAAGGCCTTGCTGAACGGGGAAAGACTCCCTCTTCCGGCACCAGTCAACTTTAAAATTTTTAAATCAAATGATCAAACCAGCTGGCCAATTTCCATGGGAACCCTGTTGAAATTCTGACTAAGAATTATTTCACACAACGGAATATGATGCAGCCACAAAGAAGGACAAACATATGGACTTTGCACCATCTTGGATGGATTCAGAGTCGATCATACTCAGTGATCTATCACAGAAACAAAGAACAGAGAGTACTGTTTTGTCCTCACTCATAAGCGGACCTTGAACAATTATCATAATACTGTAAGAAAGGGATTGGCAGTAGTGGGTAACTGCCAGGGGAGGGGCACACCTCAACAAGGGCACCTGCACAATCAGTGTTTGTATACCTAAGCCTGAATTGTACCCCACATCTTTAAAAAAAAAAAAGAATTATTCTGTAGATTCACTTGGGGAACTTGTCAACAGCGACCCTTCCGACGCCTGAATGTGTGTCTCTCTTCAGTGATTCAGCATTTTGATTTCTCTCCTCAAGGCTTTGCACACAGACCCTGCCCCTCCCATCAGAAGCCTCCGGGGCCTGGAGAGCCATCAGCCTGCCAGGCACCTCACTGGTGGCTCAGGCCTGTCACCCTGAGCTCCTCCTGTAGCTGCTTGACTGTCGTCCCCTTCCCTGAAACATGCTCCCCCCTCAATCTTCCATCT